TATAGTATATTATAATTTGTTTATATATTATATTGTTATATTAAATTAATATTATATTATATTAGAGATGTCGCAAAACGGAGGCTGGTTTCCTGGAGACATCAATAGGCGTCAAGAGTTTTTTTGGGGTCAGAAAGTGAACTCCACATCCACGTTGTGTTTTTGTCCAGATATTGAAAGTATCATGCTGATGCGTGGACACCATCCTTTGCAACCAACCTTTGCCTTAGTTCTGGGCCTCGATAATAGTTTGACATGAAAGAGTTTGGGAAAATACACCATTGAAGTGGAACACCTGGTAAAAACAAACATGTATAATTAGTTATAGTTATATGTTATATATATATTATTATTATTTATATAAATTAGTACCCATTTATACCCTTATATAGTTTCAATTGTATACTGTAGACATGTGCTATGAGCGGCTGCGAGGTGGCGGTTTGCCCACCCGGAGTCCTTCCAGATCTTTCATGTCAGAGCTGTGCCCTGAACTGTCGCCTGTTCCTGAGTACAATACACAAAGTGACATTACATTACATCGACATTACATCTACATTACATCTACATTACATCTACATTACATATACATTACATATACATATATATATACATATACATACATTACATATACATTACATATACATATACATATACATATACATATACATATACAATATACATATACATATACATATACAATATACAATATACATATACATATACATATATATATACATATACATACATTACATATACATTACATATACATTACATATACATTACATATACATTACATTTGCATTACATATACATTTTACATTGAATTTCATTGCGTTACATACCTATTGCATTGCATACCTATTTTTTGCGCTGCATACCTGCTATTGCATCCTTTTGTGCGATGTCCCTTCGTTGACTGCATCCAGTACAAGACGTTGAATGATGTTCGGTCACATCCATTTTACCATTTTAGGAGTCGCAATGACAATTGCTCGACTGAGGCGAAGTGACAGTCCAAAGGGCCGACTGTTGCAGGGAAAATTCCGCGCTGCACCGAAGGTTGATGAACCCCGAACAAGACGATTCTCCCACTGGATATGGGTATGGATCAATACCTATTAATACATATTAATACCATTTTTAGGGGGATGAACATCCATTTACCAACTATTTTGATGTTCACCAGGGGTACAAGGTTTTGACACTGCCATATGGCTATTGTTTGGTTGCACAATATGTTTAAAGAGATTAGATTCAGATGTCAAAGCCACTGCCAAGTGAGCATCTGAGTCTGCGAGAAGGAAGTCCGGGGAATGCAATTTGCGCAAGATATCCGGCCAGGGTATGCTTGAGTGCCCAGCCTTCCATGTGCCACTCATCGAAGCGCAAGATTCTGCAGAAAGCTCACTTGACCAATACCCATGCGTGTCATTCACTGGTCTCGGATTCTCGGCTCAAAGGTCAGAAGGGTTGGGACTTGTAGATTCACCCGCCGACTTAGATTGGAACTGGTTTGAAAGCTGGTTAGACTACAAACAAAATCACAGTACCACAAAAACAATCTGCAGTAAGTGATTTTGATTTACGTGAAGCCTAGATCTATATAGATACGCATTAAGCATCAGTATAAGACGTATATTGAGTGATATTGAGTGTATGTTGTGAACGTTTTATGTAGTAATGTCAATCCTGGATTTATAAACCCCTACGTATTTAAGTATCAGACTATGACTATTGGGGCAGTACCCCCCTAATTAATAGACCATGGTTCATTCATCAGGGGTGACATTAAACCATGTAAGCATCTATTACTTGATCAGCGTCCAGCCATGGACTCGACCTATTTCATCCTTTTTTCAGGATGGCAGGCTGCAACTGTCGCATCCTGAGTGAAAAAGGCCACAGTTCTACGGCTGAAACATGCTGAAACTCTAAACCATGGTTTGATTATGTTTGATTCATTAAATGTCCAACAGAAAGTGAGACCTAAAGAAAGACAGTGAAAGAAAGGGGAAGAAAAGCAAAGAAAAGCAAAAAAAATGAAAAGGATAAGCAAATTAAAGTAGAAGTTGCTTTCCTATGGTGCAACTTGCGTTCACATTGTGATTTACAGTTTTGCAAAATAGGCTGTTTCGATCATTTATCAACAAATCGTCGGAGTTCCATTGGGAAAAATGTTGGTGTGACTGTTTCAGCATGTTGGTGAGCAGAGTTCCGTTCCGGAAAGCATTCCCTTAGCTAAGTTGGTGTGACTTCCACAGTTGTTTGTACATACTACAAACATGCTTACATACATCTACAATTTACACACGTATACATATACATGTTTTAACACCTTACATAACATTGCATACAACATTACATTCTAGCAATTTCTTGCCCATATTCCAGGGCCGAACATATTCCATGCCAAAATAGCTGGGAAATTTCAGGAATTGCGAAGACCCCTTTCAGGTGAAATTTGTATTTCATACAGTTTGCCAAGTATTCCTTTTCTTCTGGCACGTACGTTGTCGACTGCACATGTTCTTCCCCAAAGAAGATCCTTACTTTCAACAATTTCTGGAATGTCATAATTAAAAATGTTGAGCTTTCCAAAAATGGATTAATAATGTTCTTATGGAAATTTGTCATCTACACTTTTCACGATCCCAAAACCCAATTCATAAGCTTTAAGCTTATGTTCTGGCACGCTTGGCTGGCCTTTCATCAGCAGCGCCATCCCCATCTTTCTTGACATCTTTGTGGCCCCGCAAAGAGCTCTGCACAACAGGATCTGGGAACACAAATCATCGACGATCCTGTTTTCTTCCGTGCAAAATAATTCCACCGATAGAGTACGATGCCACCCCTGGAGTGCGCTAATTTTCTGGAATGCGAAAATAAAACAGTATGCGTGGCCCCCTTCGACCTTCCCCATGAATCCAACACCAGTTTTTTCCATCATATACCAGAAAATTATCACATTTCACCCTGCTGAGCTTTCTTTTTTCTTTTTTTTTTTGCCAAAATTGCCTGGAATGCGATAGTATGTGCAACTACAGACGTCTCACGAAAAACCGCTACCTTTCCCATATTCCAGAAAACGTGATTCCAGGCGATTTTAGCAAAAAAAAAACGAAAAAAAAAAAAGAAAAAAAAACGAAAAAAACGAAAAATTACCGAGTACGAAGATTTTATGGAGTGCGAAGATCTTGCAGAGTGCGTGGATTTTATAGTATGTGCGCGTCCCTAGCTGTGGAGTGCGATGTCCCATGTGGAGTGCGAAGAATTTGTGGAATGCGAAGAATTCCGAGTATGCGTGGCTGGTATAGAGACCACATAGGGAAATTTCGCGGCCAGAACCAAAATTCCAATCCCAAAGCCGGCCCAAACTTCCAGGGGCACACCAGTGGGTTCTATTTTTCCAAGTTCACCTTGGGTGAGGTCCCGGGGAAGAAACTTGCTAATTTTTACTTAGCCAACCTTTAAAAACGTTACCTTTGACAACCCTGTCCTTCTTCTGTAGACAAATGAGGAAACTTCCTTATCAAAGCAGCCTTCAATTCATTCAACGTCCACAGCTCCTTTGGAACGACATAGGGGATAGAAAGCTGTGGAGGGGCATTCAATGGATTCGCCGTGGGCCAACTGTTCCCTCCAGATTGAGCTGAAATGCCTATCAAAGTAACATACCAAAACCCAGGTCTGGAGTACGATGAAAACATGGTATGCGAAGATTTTCTGAATATGGGAATGTTGCCTTTAGATACATACCATTCTTGTATTGCACAACATTACATGACGTAACATCACACTACATTACACGACATTACGTCCTATGGTACATTAATACATGTTATAGGATTACACTACTACATCCTGATACGACATTACCTATGTATTACAAAACATACTAATACATACCTATGGTATCCTATGGTATCCTATTGTTTCCCATTGTGTCCCATCGTTGCTGACTGCATCCAGTACAACTGCTCCACTGAGGCGAGGTCACAGTCCGAAGGGCCGACTGTTGCAGGGAAAATTCCGCGCTGCACCGAAGGTTGATGAACCCCGAACAAGACGATTCTCCCAGTGGATATGGCTATTGTTTGGTTGCACAATATGTTTAAAGCGATTACCCTCTGGTAATTTAACATAGCTATAGAACATAGCCCATTTACAGTGGATTTTCCCATGAAAAATGGTCGGGATGTCTTTGGTCTTGACCAATACCCATGGTTGTCATTCAGTGGTCTCGGCTCAAAGGTTAGAACAGTTAGGACTTGAGGATTCACCCGCCCGCCGACTTAGATTTGGACTGGTTTGCCAGCTTGTTAGACCACAAACAAAATCGCACTACCACAAAGAAAATCAGCAGCCAGTGATGTGGATTTGCGTGAATCATGCATAGATCTTTATTATCTATAGACACACACACATTAGGATTGAGCAATGTCATATACAATGTAAGTTTCTACTTAGTTGGACGCTGATCAGCAATGGACTACACTGTCGCATCCTGAGGGAATCCAAAGGCCACAGTTGCATGGATTTCTGCGAGAATCTTACAGCTGAAACATGCTCAAACATGCTGAAAGATGATGAAACTGTAAATCATACTGAAGTCATCTTATAGTTGAATGATGGGGGCAAAAAACATCAAACATCATCAAATACCACCAATAAACCCTGTAGAGTTTCCGAGAATTTCTCTTTTCCCAGTGAAACATTTGCGGGTTGCTCAAGTTCCGGGGTTCAAGATGAGACCCGTCGTTCTGCTGCATCAAATTGCCCCACCAGCTTTCTATGACAGCTGCAGACTTGGATTCTTTACTCCTGGCATCTCGTGGCAATCTCATCTCAAGGGGTTCTCAAGGGCAGAAGGCGAGTCAAAATGTACAGCCCGATCCATACTCTGAACCCACACGCCGATCCATACCCCGATCCATACCAAAACGCAGGCACCGCGGGTCGATCCATAGCCGAATTGTGACGCAAACCCACCACTGTTCCCGGGTTCAGCCGCCATGGCAGCGATGCGTGCTCCCAGTGAGGACCCGCCAATGATGCCAGTCCACTTGTCAGAACCTCCACCAATTCCGGCATTTGTGGAAGTCTTCGAGCAAATGCAGGTGGGGAATTGACGCGTTGTGCGTTGATGTCAGTTCCAATGTGCTTGTGTGAAGTAGTGATTTAAAACGGACAACGGAGAGGACTGCATTCCATTCACATGTTCAGTAAATAGCTTCCGAATTATACCCCAGATTTACCATGTGGCCCCATAAAGGGCGGGGAATCTCAGTCCAAGAAATCTTCTCTTGATTTTTGTTATTGTTTTTACTTTTGACATCCAGGTAACCATAGTTGGAACTATTAGCGCAGTCATTTATGTAAGGTGATTCGTTTGCGTGCACCGCCCACCTAGTGGATTCTTCATGTTCACGGTCTTGTTGATTATATATTACCAGTTTGTTCATTGTCATATATATATATAATAATATTATATATATATACATTGTGATATATTCTGTTTATGTTCAGTACGTAGTGCTTGATTCACCCCCGCAAGAAACAAACAATAACAAGTTAAACACGCAGGTGAAGGTGTAATGTACGTGGTGCCTGGGAAACTACAATCATGTTTTTGTATGTGTTTGTTCCTTTTGTTTCTCTCAGGCTATATTTTTGTGCATTTTATACAAGGTAGTTACATCAGAGAGATATCAATTTTCCACAGGGTGATACGGTCGCTTGCAGCTGCAGGCTGAATTTGAATATATATATATATATAATATACATATATATACATATAATTTATAGCCAGGGTTGGCCTATTTAACCAGGGGTTTGTGACGTATCCAAATGAGATCTTGGAAACTGTATTGAATTCTTCAGAAACCATATTGACTTCTTCAGGAACTATTTCGGATTTTGGACAACTATGAGCTGTGACTGTGGCTGAGAACTTAACTTATGCATCTGAATCTGCACATGATATGTGCATGATACTTGGGAATGCTTTCCTACATCTGAATATTGCATACCGCCACATGGCTAGATACATGTTACTGGTTTCTGGGCTTCTGAATGGCCGAGCATGCGTGGTTGTACACTCTACTATATTACTCAAAAAATGATAGATATTCAGTACTATAATTATTGTAGCAATATTTTTTAAACTTGTTATTACTGTTACTATCATACTGAACTGTTTTCCAATTTGATAACTTGACACCTCTGACAAGTTATAAGTTTGAAGTCTGAATCGGAACTATTTTTCTTTTCAAAACCACCACGTATCATAACAACTGCAAATTCTGAATTTTACATAAGTTGGACGAAATAACGTAACAAATCACACAAATTGTGATACGACACGACCTCGCTGGCAGAATGGGGTACGGAAAGCATTGACGACATACGACGCACAATGACAAGCAACAGTTCATCCAAAATTGAACTCGACTGTACCCGCCTGAATCGCGAAGATGCCTCTGTTATAAACTTTTGACCATTCGCGACTGACATGATTGCTGTACGGTTTGTTACGACCTGTGATCTATGTGACATGTAAGGAAGAGCCATGAGCAAGGATGACGATGATGACCATGAGGAGAGTATGAGGATGAGGATGAGGATGAGGGTGAGGATGAGGACGACCACGACGACGACGACGACGACGATGATGATGATGATGATGATGATGCTGATGCTGATGATGCTGATGATGCTGATGGGCTGATGCTGATGATGCCGATGCTGCTGCCGCTGCTGCTGCTGCTGATGATGATGATGATGGTGTGTTGATGTGGTGATGTGGATCAAAGTTCAAGTTAGGTAAAGGAAACAATAGGTCAGATCAGAAGGCCAAAGTTGGCAGTATAGAGTCTTTAGCTTTCAGGGTCGGCATGGGGCTGTTTTTGTTCACCCCCAACCACAGAACTGGCATACCCCATGTGCTGGAAAGTGATGTTTAGATCAAAGCGGGGTGTAGTTGAAGATGTTCAGAGGGCATGCGAATTTGACTATTGATTGATATTTGCCAGGCAGTGCGTTCCAATACAGCCCGTGAGATTCTCCATACAGTTCCTGAAGTTTTCCATACAGTTCCTGAGATGTCCGTATAGTTCCTAGCCAATTTTTGCAATTTTCAGACCCCAGGAACGGTCGCGACAGTTTGTACGGTTTCTACGGTTCCATTTTTGGGCATTGGAGGGGTATGGTTGACATGTGGCTTGACGGGGCCACAAATTGAGCCGGAAGAGCTTTGAAGAGATCCAGGGACAGAAGCCGTTTAGGCATGGAAAACCGGATTTGGAATTTGCTTGGTTTTTGGAATCGAGGGGCACGTTGATTTAATTCACGGGGCCCTCCTTCCCTGTGCTGTTTTTTCCGGGCGACCCCCCACAGCTACACCAAGAACATCGATGATGCATTTCTTTCATCACTGGCAGGAACCAATTTGCAGATTTGTTCATGTTGCTGATGATTTCCATCCCACCCATATTCTTAAAGGAATTTTGGGTAGGTTGTTGTGGACTATACTATTTTGGCTATACCAGTGCATTAAGGTAATTACTATATTGTGTGGCCGCGCCAATGCATATCTCAAAACAACTTACAAAGCACGCTGTACACGAAAAACTTACAACTTGTAGCTTTTAGCTGATAATTTGAAACTAATACGTATTGAAAAAATATTTGGACCATAGATAAAACGAGAAATAGACATATGATTTAGGGGTCAGGACCGTTCCATGCTATAAGGCAGAAACCGTCGCGACCGTTCCATGCTATAGTACTATAGCCCTTAAAACAACGGATATAGTTCGGAACCGTCTGCGACCGTTCGGAACCGTTCCTGGAAACTGCAACAAAGATATAGTGTAGGAACCGTCGCAACCGTTCCACGCTGTATTCAAGATTACAGTCGGGAACCGTCGCGACCGTTCCCCCAAAACTGGATTATTGCGTTATTTTAGCCTAAATATTTTAATCTCTTTATATCTATATATATATATAATATATTTATATAATTTTATATATTCATATGTTGTATTAGAATATGTATATATATATACACATACATATGATTGTTACATATATATATATATTATATGTATACAATACATAATTATATGTGTATACAATTATATACATACGTTATATCATATCTTTTGAAACAACTACCTAGTTATAGTTTACTGGCTATTTATATTTTTAAGAGTTTATTCCAACATCATCATTCATCCTGGGGTCTGGGGTATGAATGCCCACATCTCTGTAAGTGTTTGTGCCAACTTAAAAGGCTGAACCTAAGTGCAATTCTTTCAGCACAACCCAGTCTTTCAAGTTCCTGCGTTTTTTCTTTTAGTTCCAACATATTTGTTTATAGTTCCAGTATTTTCCCATATAGTTCCTTTATTTTCCCATATAGTTCCTATATACCCAGGGTGGCCACACACACATAGTTCATCACTGGTTACAACATATAATTATATTTTGTTATTCTATTATCACATGTATATACATATAGATATATTTTAATATGTATGTATATATATATTATGATAAACATACACATATATATATATACTTATTTATTTATTTATATATATATATACTTAATTATTCATATATACATATACTTATTTATATATACTTATATATGTATATATATATATACTTATATATATACTTATATATATAAATATGTATATATATATATTATGAACAGATATATATATATATATATTAAATATAAATATATATATATATATTATTATAAACATATAGGCTATAGGTCACTATGACCAAGGTCAATGAAATCTCCACGATTCAGTGCATAGACCTTGGCATTCAATATGCTCAACCACATGTTTCTTCAAGCTTTGAAGATTGATGGTACGTTGACCAACGTTGCCCATGTTGATGGTCTCTTTCAGGGTCAAGATAAACATATAATCGTTAGATATCGTTAGTACAAACAGTCATGGGACAACCCCCGATGACTACTGTTACTACTGTAGCTGCTGGTTACTATGGATGTTTTTCCAGATAGAAACAATCCATAAATTTTGAATAGCCTTGACACATCTCTCTGCTGATCCTCATCTGAAGTTTCAGTTTTGACAGATGGCTGTGCCTGAAAATGGTGTATATACCCCAAGATAACCATGTGACTAGATAACATGATCATGAGCCAATGGATAGAATGGAGAGTTTACCCTCAAATTGTCAGATACCAAAACCCTCATGTTTCAAAGATGCTTCATTGATTTTCGCCTCAAAATCTACTGGAGGCTCTTCATTTGAAGCTGTGGGACGCTCACCAGGCTGTGCTCCAGGGTGCCGTGCCACCACGGCCCTCAGCCCTACCAATCCAAGCCATTTCGCACGCTCCCGGGAAGAGCAGAGCCGGCTCGGAGGTCTCGATGGAACACGAGGAAACTTGGGATTTTGCTTTTGCAACATTTTGCATCAATGTCTACCATACATGAGATTGTTTTAGATCATTTAGCATGGAGCCTGGTTATCAATGGTCCATAGAGTTTTCTATAGGGGGCTCCATATAAGTCTCACAAAACACCCCAATATGTCCCATGGAGCATCATGGAATCTGGCTTTCGATGATTAAAATAGTTTTTAGATGTTTTGAGTGGATCTCACAGAGTCAATTTAACATGAATTTTGAATTTAACGTGTAACCTGGTTTTCAGGGGTCCCGGTTACATGCTTTGCATGATGAGTATGCCTCACCGTTGAGTTCCGTGTTCAGTTCCAGGAGCTGAGCTGATTTGGATTGGTCTGAAAATAGGGCGCCCACAATTCCATGGCAATATTGCAATTGTCCACCACTTTCAGACACACCCACAATAGCCATTGTTGTTTGATGTTGTTTGTGTCTTTTCCTTAATTACAGTCCAAGTCCTTTTTGTTCTGTGCATCTTTTCCCTTCCCCTGAAATCTTCAGTCGAAATTTGTGCATACATTTACTTCATGTCAACAGATAAAGAGGCTACGAATGGGATAAACATATTGATCTTATTTATATATATATATGTGTATATATAATTTGTTCATTAAGAAACATGGAGTTTGCTAAGAAAGATGCGTGATTTTCTCGTGTCAAGGCCCAGGCCGCGGAAATTGATTGCGAGGAGGAGCCGACGTCAGCCAGGATGTCCCGTGGCGCAGGTAGAATTCACACTATAATCCACCTGTATAAGGTGGTGCCAAGCAATCTTGGAGTGTTTATATGTGTATACCTACGAAATCCTCAGGCCATAATGATGGTCTAAATTTTAGCCTGAACCAATATCTTTGGCCCGAGCTAAAAAAATAGCCCGAGGCACTTTGCGCAAAAAGTGCTGGTTCAATGGTATTGAAATCAATTTCACATGTTGAATGGCATGGATAAGGGGGTGCATAATTAAGAAATCACAGAAGAAAGTGTCCCATGATATCACGCAACCTCCCTGCAAATCAGCAATGTCAGAAGCACAATGCGGTCCAGTTGGCTCATAACTGAGTAGATCTGCCTGGCTTCCATCCCCAAAACTATAACTTCGCAGTCAAATATGCTGGAACACCGCGATAGCTAATTCAATCATGGTTTGAATTTACAAAAAATGTGAAAAAGGAGTATTTGAAACAAAAACATGAACAATCTGTTTTTTAGTATCAGCATTTGATGCCCGATTAATTAGTGCAAACTTTTGCCCGGGTTTTCATGAAATTGTTTGATCGTTGACCAAATTCAGCCCGATGTTTTCATAAATTCAGGTTTGCCAAAGGTTTGCAAAAGGTTTGCAAATATAAAGCTTGAAGTCCCTGGGTTCAAAAGCCAATATCATGGAAATAAGATGCTTTATGAGCTTGCGGAAAGCTGGCTATATATTTGTTTTACTACCAACACGCGTCAAGCGTGCCACAATGTGGCAACTTTTTGGATTCTGAATCATTGAGCTATATTGAGCTAATTGCTTGATTTAGTTCTACCGGACGATAAAAGGATACGGTGAGCATCGGGATGACCAAGTAGTTCGTGAGTTCTTTCCTGTTTTGAGCCTGATTTCTTACCAAACCCAGCTTGACATTCAAACAAATCAGCCTGAAAATTTGAGAATAGCCTGAGATCACCCTCAGACCGAAATTTCAGTCTGAAACCCTGAAGTGCGTGTTTCCTTTTCAGGCTTGTATGGCCTGTTGGAGTTCCTCCGTATTATATAGAGGATTGCTTTTTTGTCAGGGGATTGTTCTCAGTGTCGTTGTTTATTTCTGTTTCCGTGCGTCTCTGCTTTTCTGCTGTTTCTGCTTCTTTGCTTCTCTGCTTTTCTGCTACTTTCCTTCTGCCTTACCGCTTTTCTGTTTTTTCTGCTTTTCCCTGCTTCTTTCCTTCTTTGCTTTTCTGCTTCTCTGCTTTTCCCTACTTCTTTGCTTCTCTGCTTCTCATTTTTTCTGCTTCTCTGTATTTCCCTGTTTTGCTTTTATGCTTTTCTGCTTCTTTGCTTTCTCTGCTTCCCCGCTTTTCTGCTGTTCTGCTTCTCGCTGCTTTTTCGCTTCTCAGGCTTCAATAAACCTTTGATATATATATATACATACAAATAAGCATCTACGGCTGTGCCAGCCATCTAAAAAAGCCTGGGCTAGTGCCCACTGGCTATAGCCAGCTAAGAATTTAAGCCAGGCAAATCTTGAAGCCCCTGGGGGTAAGGACAAAGAAAATTAGCAGGGTAATATGGGAAGACAACAAATTCGAAATCATGTGCTGGCATGATGCATATAAGGAGCTAGTACTCCTGAACTTTAGCGAATACAAGCTTTTCTGTAGGCACCGTTTTTGATTTTGGAAGATTTGAAAGAAGCAGGAAGTGGCTGTATCATATTCGGATGATTACTTCGTCTCAACTTTTGTGGAAGAAACGAAAAACCCTAAACCAACCCTAAATAACCCTAAAGCAAACCTAAAAGTACTTACTTTGTGTTGTCCCCACCGCGGCATTCATTTTGGCATTCAATCTCACATCGTATCTATGTAACACATACATTATATTGCGACATACTACCTGGCATTTTATTTCACATATATAATCACAATCTATCTGCCATTTTCTCGGGCGTCATTCTATCTGGCATTTCTTCCAACATATTTCTATATGTACAATTATATATGTACACATATGTATCTGGCAAGTATTCTGGCACAGTCTGACATTCTATCTGACATGTATTCAATTTTTTAGACGCATTCTATCTGAGACCTGACATTCTATCTGGCATTGTATCTGACATATATTATGGCATTCTATTTGGAATTCTATTTCAACTCTATTTGACAAATATTCTGACATTCCTTTTGGCATCTATTGTGAATTTTTACTTCGCTCGTATTGACATTCTATCTGGCATTTTGTCTGGCGTGGTTCGGGTCTGTCTCGCCACAGAGAGCCGGAGATCTCGCCGCAGTGTTCGGTTCCGGCGCGGCCACACCATAGAGTGGCTCCATGCAGCATGAACAGTTGGAGCACCAACATGTTGCAAATACCGTTGAAACGGCAACTTCCGGCTCCAAAATGGTGCAAATAGCAAGGAATTAAAACAGACAGAACTTAATCCCTAAAATTACCCCAGCAAGGGGCCCCAAAGAGTTCGGGGGCCTAGGAAATCAATGTAGGAGATACAAGCAACAGTAGGTACACAAACAGTATGATCAGATTATCAGATTAGACATTATCGAAGCTGCAGCAGAAGCAGTTTGTTTTTGCAAATCGCCATAGAAGGACCCGCTACAGCACAGATCTTACAAGATTTTTGCGCAAGAGCCTCCGAGCCTCCCAAGTAAGAGATTACCGGAAGCGCCTTCAGACAAACTCCTCTAATACATGGCGTCTGCGAGATCTTCATGCAAGACTGCAAGGACCTCTTGGTGGATTTCACCAGGATCGTCAGGAAATCTTCTCTAAAGGAGCTGCTGTGCAAGACCCTATAGTCAAGATCTTCATATATCATATATCTGAGAGAACATTCGGAGTTCGCAAAATCGTCATAGAAAGACGTTTCAAAGAATTCATAAACATGCACAAAGTGACGAAAGGGTTGGGCAAATGATGTCCAAATGAGCACCGCGCCACAACCAGAGCGATCTGACACGCACAGAGTAATGAAAAGGTTGCCCAGTCAATGTCTCAGTTAGCACCGCGCCGGAACGAGAGCGATTAACATGCACAAAGTGACGAGAGGGTTGCGCGAGCGATATCAAAATTTGCAATGCGCCATGGAGAGAGCAATCCCCCGCACACAAGTGACAAAAGGGTTGCGCGAGCAGAGCACATGTTAAAATTTCGAAAATGAACGTTGCAGTTTTTCCGCATGTCTATATTGCACGCTGCCGCCAAGAATGACCCTGAGGCATCCGAAGTAGCGCACTTGCCGCGCGAAATCACCACAGACACGCGCCATGGGATCAACAATGACGACAGCTTCACAAAACGAGACTTTAAAGTGTTTCAAAACGTTGTGCACGTTGACTAAATAGTGTGCCTGCCATAGAATGGAAAATGACCTCCCAAACCACCTCTCATGGCGACCCAGGCCTGCCGACGTTCTAGCAACATGCAGAAAGTACCACGCCTGCCATGCAGATGAAAAAGCATTCAATGTCTTGCGCCCGTCATGCCAAAAACGACGTTTCAAAACATCAAAATGAATGTCCCGGAAGGCCCACGCCGGCCAAGAAATGCCATGACTGAAAAAGGAGCACGGCGTGCCGGTAAAGTAGCCCATCAGCCTGCGCGGTCGAAATGCACATGGACATCCAAGCGGACTTTTGTGCGAGCCGGCGCAGACAAAAGGGCCACAACGCGACCCTTGAACGAACCCGGGCTTTACTCCTACAACACCCCTCAGTGTGGACTGCGTTTGCGGAAAAATCCCGAAACAATTCCGGACCCTTATGTGAGTATATATTTTTCGTCATTTACGCACGCACAAACGCAAAGATATTTGAACACGTTTGCGCATGCACTTTTACTTACAGGGTTGCCTATCATGACATGTTTGTTTGCCTCCTCAATAAGCACCACGGCCTATAGGTCCCGACGGCTCATGCAGAAAGCCAAGAAAGCGAGTCACACCATGGATGATAACATTGAGCGCAGCGACCCTTGGATCAGTGGATTGTATTGAGGGAACAGCACTTTTGATCGGTGTTCGTATAAAATGTTGTTCGAACCACTTGCAGTTTTCCCAAATCTGGAGATTTTGTTTGTGTGACCTCAATTGGGACCAAGGCGCATACTTGCTGGTTCATCTTGGAGAAAGCGCAAATTTGTTTGTTTGGAAAATGCTCACTACCCACCCAACCTGTCTAACCTGGTTTAGCTCACATATTACATGTCACGTTGCATGTATCTTCATTTGTTTTTTGCCAAATCAGATTCCTGAACTCCACTAGTTACATTGTACTATGTGCATCTATGTGCTGTGTTTATTCTATTCTGTTCTACTCTGTTTAACTATGTGATATCATAATCACGACACAAAAACTTATTATGGTGAGCTATCACAATCTAATTGTGATGAAATATTTAATTGCCTTCAGCAAGCCCGCCGTATACCCCTAAGGCAACTTCCGCCCTGCCTCGTGCGGGTACTACTGGTAGGTAGTAGTAGGTGGTAGTAGGTAGTAGTAGGTAGTAGGTAGTAGGTAGTAGTAGGTAGTAGGTAGGTAGTATTAGAAAAAGCAGGAGTAGGGGTAGTAGTAGAAGGAGCAGTAGAATTAGCAAATAGCAGGAGTAGAAGTAGTAGAACGAGCAGTAATATTAGCAATAGCAGGAGTAGTAGTGGTGACAGAAGCAGTAGCAGTAGCAATGGCCGGAGTAGGAATAGGAGTAGGAGTAGTAGTAGTAGTAGTAGCAGTAGTAGTAGTAGCAGCAGCAGCAGTAGTAGTAGTAGTAGCAGCAGCAGTAGTAGTAGTAGTAGCAGCAGCAGCAGTAGTAGTAGTAGCAGTAGTAGTAGTAGCAGCAGGGGTAGTAGAAGTGGCAGTACTAGTAGCAGGAGTAGGAGTAGGAGCAGGAAGAGTAGGAGGAGTAGGAGGAGTAGCAGTAGGAGTAGCAGTAGAGCAGCAGTAGGAGTAGCAGTAGAGCAGCACTAGGAGTAGCAGTCGGAGTAGCGGTAGGAAGATTAGTGCGAAGAGTAGCACAGGAAGAGTAGTAGTATTGCAGGGCGATTTCGGGGAGGGGAGGGGGGGAGGTGGATTCAATTCAGTGAACAAAAAAATAAGAAAGCCAAGAATAGAACAAGAACAACAACTTCCAATCAGACACGCCGGCACCCCCCGAATTTGAGTACAGTACATATTGCAATTTTCTGTCGCCTACCCCATATCCATCCAACGATCTACCCGTTTCTCAATCTATCCGTCGATCCATTTCACATATTTTTGCATCCATGTACCCGTCCACCCATTGATTTATCTACCCATGCTTCAATGGCCGATATGGCCTATATACGAATGTAGTTTACCCGTATGCTCCTAGAGTGCCCATCCACTGGCATGTTCTTGAAAATACAACCATGCCCAATGCATATGACAGGTCAGCGTCATAGTGAGCATGTTTAGTCTAAGAAAAAGTAAACCAATATGATGCGTGTGTTTAAATATATATATATATGTATGATAATATATGTATACACTTTTTATAGCAGTAGCATGTAGTTGTTTTCTGTCAGGCAATATTTTCCTTAATCTTGTCTCATCCAGTCTTATGTAATTTCTCTGATTACAGCATATTTGATCTTACTTAATAAGCTACTCCTAACTATCATGATCCATGTACTCATCTGTCTAGCGATGCGGGGATAGGTTAAACCTATAGTGACATATGGGGTGAACATCCATGTGCCAGTCATTTTTGGGGTTCACCTGGGCACCAGGATTTTGATCCATGGCAATGTAATAAACAAATCCTCAGGATTTCTGGGAAAGCCCGGAAAGCCTATGTCTGCGCCCGGAATGGGAAGTGAGCGACAAGAAACTGAAGGAGCTCAAGCGGGTGCAGCGCCGGCTGTCCGCTAGCAGCATGGCCAGTACCACCCTGCGAAGTAAGAGAACCAGGAGCCTCTGTGGATTAAAAAACGCCCCACGGGTTGAGGGGCCTCCCAAGATGGGCAAGTTCATCAACGATAATCAACATGGGGAGTTGCCTGAAAATGGGCTACACCAGGGAAATAATGCAAATCATTGGTACAAGTTACAACATCAAACGATGGGATTTGTTGGGGTACATTTTAGTTCAGACAAACCGGTGTAACTGTGGTTTCACCAATCGCATCCTAATAATCCCAAGGATTGGGGATTCGGGAGAGCCCCAAATTCCTGGTAGTTTTTTAAATCTCATTTCCTAATCAGAACAAACATTTTTAAATAAACCCTAAGTGGCCTTCCAATGTACGAACACACTGTATATAACACACATTTTTTTCAGCGATATGTGTTTTCTTTTTCAGAGGCATCCCTGAGGCAGTACCTTCTGCAAACGGACAAGGATCAGGAGCATCCATGCTTCGTGGTCAGTCCACATTCGCGCGCTAGAATTTGTTGGGACGTCTTGGTCTTATTCGCAATCCTGCTGGAGATCTTCACTGCCACTTACATCAACGACACTCTGCATTACCAGCTGGCTGACATCAGACGGGAGTACCTCAGAACATGGTTCCCCTTCGATATTCTGATGCTGCGTCCCGGCTCCTGTCATAAGAAATTCCAACCCGAAGGGTTCCAATGGAAGCCCGGCAACGGATGTAAGGAAAGGGTCGGTTTTACACATGATATTCGTATTGTCACAGTTGTCACATAAAGGATTGCCTCCACCGGTTACCCGGCTTCCACCGCTACCCGGCTAGTCGGGTGACCATGGCCAGTATAAGGTTGTCAGCGGCTCACATGGGGAATCCATATTATGGGAATCGGCAATTTGGCATCCGCAATATATACTCTTGACTCTTGAACATGATAATATGACCGAAGGGTCGAAGGAAGTTTAGAAGCCAAACTTTCGACAATATGGACGGATGGAAAAGAAGAGGTGGGAAGAGTCAGAGAAGAGAAAGAGTCAGAAGAAAGAAGATCCAGGCGCCAGACAAGGTAGCAAAGCCGCGAGTCGCAAAATTTGTTTTTTCCAATGTTTTGTGGCTCCACTGAGACCACTCAATGAGGATATTTTAGCTTCAGGCACTTAAATAGAACATTAGTAAATATTTGAACTTACCATAACTTATGTTAAAACTTGTTTGAACTTTTTTGAACTTAGTTTTACGACTTTTTTGACTTCACAAAACTGCAAGATTCTTTCGATATTGGCTGGTGTTTTTCAATTAATAATCCAACTTTTCTCAAGTTGCATAATTTCTCATAATTAAGACACAAATTCTGATTTATCTGACTTTTTGGTTTTTGATTGATTTTCTGAATATTTTGAACTAATTTGTTTCTAGTTTAAATAAATGTTCTTATTTTTCTGATTTTTTGGGATTTTGATGGATTTACTGAATTTTCTTTTTTTTGACTTTAAATTGAATTAGCGTTCTGAATTTTCTATTTTTATGTTTTCGTTTTTTTTTGAATTTTCGCAATGTTTGTTTTTTGATTGATTTTCTGAATTTTCTGAGTTTTTGTTTTTTGATTGATTTTATAAATTGTCTTTTCTGTTTTTTATAAATTTCATTGGAATTAGAATTCTGAATTTTCTGATTTTTTGGTTTTCGGGTGTTTTTCTGAATTGTTGGATTTTGTTGGTTGTAATGTCATTTAAAAAAATCTATTTTTTATTTTTGCTGGATTTTCTGAAGTTTGCTGGATTTTGATTTTTCTGGATTAATTTGTCTGTGGTCAAATTGAAAGATTGAATTTGTTTGCAGGCTCCTCAAAAGAAAAAAATATATTGGAAAATGCATTTAACTTATTTCAAGATATTAACAAATATCTGCAGATAATTACAGATATGTTTAGGCAATATTCATGTTCTTCTGAATTGATCTACAATATCCTGTAACAAGTTATATTAAAAAGTGGTCGAACTTAACACAGGATAAATTCTGATAACCAATTTGAATAGGATAGGATATTAATAAGAAAATAGTAGCTTGTACCCTACTTGCTATCTTTGGTAAGTGCCTGAAGTTTATATATCTGACTTTTAGTGGTCTTAGCAGAGGGTCGAAAAGTAGGCTCGCTAAAGCGGCGGGTGCGGAGCCATCTGGGCAGATAAGAGATCAAAAATTGCATGCAGCCGTGGTGCGAAGCACATTTCGAAGTCAAAATGTGCAAAACGCCTCATGTTTATTTTTGGAAGTTCTGATGTCGAAAAATTGCACGCCGTTGTGGCGCCAAGCACATTCTTACAACTACAACTACAGCTGCAAGTGCCACTGCACTACAGCTCCAGCTACGATTACAATTACAGCTACAACTACAACTGCGCTAAAATAGATTAAACTACACATAGCTACAACTACGACTACGACTACAACTACGGCAACAACTATTACAATGACAAAAAAACTATTACTACTACTGCTGCTGCTGCCGCTGCCACTGCTACTACTACTGCTACTGCTACTGCTACTGCTACTGCTACTATTACTACTACGACTACTATGACTACTACGACTACTTCGACGACGACTACGACTACTACTACTACTGCTACTACTACTATTACTACTACTCCTCCTGCTCCTGCTGCTGGTGCTGCTTCTGCTGCTGCTACACTTGTACTCGTACTCGTTCTCCTACGCCTACTACTACTAACTACTAACTACTAACTACTAACTACTAACTACTACTACTACTACTACCACTACTACTACTACTACTACTAGTACTACTACTACTACTACTACTACTACTACTACTACTACTACTAGTACTAGTACTACTACTACTGCTACTACTACTACTACTAGTACTACTACTACTACTCCTACTACTGCTGCTACTACTACTACTACTACTCCTACCCCTACTCCTGCTGCTACTACTGCTACTACTACTGCTGCTACTACTGCTACTACTGCTACTACTACTACCACTACTACTACTACTAGTACTAGTACTACTACTACTACTACTACTACTACTACTAGTACTAGTACTACTACTACTGCTACTACTACTACTACTAGTACTACTACTACTACTCCTACTACTGCTGCTACTACTACTACTACTACTCCTACCCCTACTCCTGCTGCTACTACTGCTACTACTACTGCTGCTACTACTGCTACTACTGCTACTACTACTACCACTACTACTACTACTAGTACTAGTACTACTACTACTACTACTACTAGTACTAGTACTACTATTACTACTACTAGTACTACTACTACTACTCCTACTACTGCTGCTACTACTACTACTCCTACTCCTACTCCTGCTGCTACTACTGCTACTACTACTGCTGCTACTACTGCTACTACTGCTATTGCTTTTGCTACTGCAACTGCTACTTCTACTGCTACTGCACCTACCACAGCAACCCCTGCTACCACAGCTAACACAGCTACCACAGGTACCACTACCACGACCACTACACTGCAACTACAACATGCTACAGCTAGAACGACGACTATATCTACAACGTACTACAACTAGAACATACTACGGCTACGACTAGGTCTTCAACCACACTACATTACAATTACAACTGCAGTACATTACGCTACAACCACAAAACTACACGACACTTCACCACACCACGCTACGTCCAGCAGTTGTGGGTGAGGTGACCACTGCAACCACTGCAAACAAGCTTAATTAACCCGCCAGGGGCCGGAGACATCACGTCCCTGACGTCCCTCACGTCCTTGGCGTCCCTCACGTCCCTCCAAACAAGACAGCTCCATCTTTCTTCCGGTCCATCAGTGGATTCGCTCTGCCAGCAATGCATCACAACAACTCACCTCTCCTATAGTTTCCTATCTTTGAAACTTCCGCCACGGCCTTGTGCGGTACTACTGTTTTTACAATCTTGGATCGAGTTTGAAGGGCAAATTTGAGGGCCAAGGAAAAACTTTCAATGAAAGGATCCCTTGCATGGCTGTGATTCTGAGGTTGCCAGATGTCCTGGTGGTGTTGCTGGAGATCTCCGACGGTCCAGCAGGTGTTCTACGCGTGGCTCGCATCCAACGCATCCTACGTCTTGGGCGGTTTCTTCAGATCCTGAGGAAAAAGGGAGAGGCTAGAAGAAAACCGTGCCCCAACTAAACATGTGGTCAGTGCCTTGAACATTGTTATTATATGTTCATTAATATTTAAAAATCCTCGTGCATGGTATGATGTTGGGTCCCAAATTAAGTGATCCGGCCTAATGTGGTAGGTCCCAATCGGTTGCATGACCCCAAATGCACCTGTGGTCACTGGATTCGTAAAACCTATTGCAGGGAATTGCTGTAATGTTGGACCTTGATTAAGTGTGAGGGGGAAAACAATTCAGATGGTCTAAATCAAAAATAAAATCTTGAGTCAGCTAATCAGCGTTGGACTTTTGTAAGGCAAAGTTTTCCTTTTAAAACTAAGGATAAGAAAAGGATTTCAATTGAAATTTGTCTATGTTCAATTGATTTTCTTTTTCAAACCTCAAAAAAATCTTCCAATCAGCAAGATTCCAATTGAAACCAATCTACTTTCACTTGGTTTTCCTTTTAACGTCAAAGAAATCTAAGGGTTAGTTAGTAAGGATTTCACTTGAAACCAATCTAGATTCAGTTCATTTTCCTTAAAAATTTCAATTATTTCTGAGGATTGGTAAGGCTGGTAAAGTTTTTACTTGAAATCAATCTACTTTCAATTGACTATTGAGGCATCAAAGAAATTAAGGATTAGTGTCTCAGTTGAAATGAAGTTGCTTTCGGGTGAGTTCTTTAAACGTCAATGAAATCTAAGGTTTGTTAAGGGTTCAAACTAAACAAAGCTACTTTCAGAAGAATGGAGTTAGTAAAGTAAAGGAAAGGATAAAAGGATTTGTGAAAATTTACCACCCAAGAAAAAACTGGACGCAATAGAGGACCCCCAACAAACCTATCATTGAAGATCAGAGTTGCTCATGGACTACCCCTCGAAAAATTTGCTTGGGTGCTGTTTTTCTTTATTGTTTTTTCTTCAAGATGTTTTTCTATTTTGGCAAGTTTTTGCATTCTGGGGATTCGAGAAACATGAAATTGCGTAAGATAGAGAAACTATAGTAAAGGAACGGAGAAGAAGATGTTTGAACAAATCCACTCAAGAAAAACACTGAACACAATAGAGGACCCCCCGACAACCCGACTATTGAAGATCTGAATTCCTCATGGGCTACCCTGTTGAAAAATTTGTTCGGTGCTGTTTTTCTTAATCTGGATTTAAGAAGGCTTTTTACATTTTGGAGAGTTTTGCATTCTGAGGTAAGAGAGAAAAGCTATATATAGCTTTTACATGTTTCCACAGTTTAGGTGATATATCATTGTTTTTTGGTTCTGAAATGACAATGAGTTATTTGAAATAATCCCAGTTCATGTGTTATGTTGATTAGTGGAATGGCCATGAATTAGGGAGTTTCCAATCCTTATTATTCTAGATCTATGCGTTGATGGCATGGTTGAGAATTGTGGAACGTTTTTTTTTCCCAAACCCAATGTTTTCAGCGCAGGAGGAAGTTGAGGTCCATGAACAATTTCCCTTCTTGTAGCTCCAGGATCCACCCCCAAAGAATGCCATTCCTCAAACGATTCCTTTGCATGCCAATTTTCCCCGAAGTAGTACTTTTTGAAAAACCTGATTAAGAAACAATCCCCAAACAATTTTTCAACGGGGCAGCCCATGAACCACTCAGATCATGAATAATGGGTTTGTTGCCGTGGTAGTGAACAATGTCAAGGATCTTCATGGGCATTTTTGTTGAATCTATCAAATTTAAGCGTACTTTACTATAGCATGTGTATCCTAGCCGATGCCATTACCGAAAAGAATCCTTAGAATTCCAAGGTTTCAAAAGAAGAGAAAATGAAGGAAAAAGAAATCGGAAAGAAAAACAAACAGATCGAAGAACAAAGGGAAGGCCGAAAGGAAGCAGGCAAGATAACGAAAGAGAAGGAAACAGAGGAAGGAAGAATGAAAGAGAGAGAAGAAGAGAAAGGAAGACATGAACGTAGATTTCAATGAACCAAAACTGTTTCTTAGATGCGGGAGTTGAGTTTCCTGCTCGTAAAGGAAAGTGAATTGAAAGTAGATTCTGAATTCCTTACTATTCTCCGGATTTTCCTTCATGTAAAGAAAAATCACTGAAAGTAGATTCGAATAAGATGAAATCCTTTTTAGCCCCATGATTGAGGAATGAATGCGGTGGTTCCAATCCCCCTACTTTTTTCTCCTGGCCACTAATCAACATCCAACAGTTTTGAAGTTATGAACCAACGTACCTATCTTGTGGTTTTCACTTCGCAGGATGTGGAAGATGCTGGACAGATACAGGTCTTCCCGCGGGGAGATGCCTTCGGCGCGTCGGGAGGATCTGCTCTCCCTGGTACGGCCCGTGGCTTGGCGTTGGCCGTGGAACGTGGAGCGTGAACGACCCTGGAAGAAGTTCAGGAGGCATATCCCAGTTTTAAGGGCTTGCAAGCAGTTTCAAAATCACTATATCTGTATAATAACATGTTTTTAACGTAGTTCCAGGATCATCCAATCAAATACTTGGACTCTTGGATGTGGATGCCAATGGAATCCAATGGGGTAGTCGTGAATCATGATTAGTCATGGGGGAACCTACTACAATCATGATCGTGTACCTGTTTTTTTGTTTAATTGCAACCCAAATGCCTAACTTTGGCGTGTGGCTCTTTCTCTTTCAGACTTCCACTGAAAACTGATGGTTTCAAAACTTGTTGACTACATGCCTGCTGGACTTCGCTTGTCCAAATAGGTGGTCCCTTTGACTTTAGCATTTTTGCTGCTGTTTGGCTTTAGTTTGGGGCACCAGGTGAAGCTCATGTAGAAGTATAGATCAAAGTGCTATTGACCCTCGGACTCAGACTCATAGATGTTGGTCAAAACATTTTGACGATTGATCACTCAGTGTTTGGGGAGGCCCCCATTCTTGACCCAGTCCCATATTAATTTTGCATGGTAAAGCATTCGTAGCAGCACCATCCAACAAACGAGATGTTTTGTAGTAATTGTAGTAGAACAATCGTATTCGCTGCGTATCATATCACAAAAGGTAGCATCAGCTATTTGCCTTCCCCCATCTGCTCCTGGAAGGACCCAGCCAAAGTTGTTTTGGCATCTGGTTCCAAACCAGCAACCGAAACCCTTCCATGCTAGAAACATACCCCTTCTCAGTATACTTACAAATCATACGGATGCTTTTCAAGTCTAGCCAGTCCTTGAAGTACTTGTGGCATCATTTCCCCCCAATCCAGTCCCAGGTCGTTTACATGTCACTCAGCTTGTTCGGGGCTGTGCACGTGCTGGGCAGTTTGTGGTTTGCTGCCGGAGACGCTCCTGGTGGTTGGGTCATCGAAGAGGGGTTGAAGGAGATGCAATTGACCAGACAGTACACAAGGAGTGTGGAATCTGGGCTAAGCTGCAAGGATTTTTTGACCAATGCTGTCACGGACACAGATGCCCAGTATGAATACTAGTAGTGTCGCAAGTTTACGTTCATTGTTTGTTCAGCATTATTTTGATTATACACAAATATAGGTAAATGCTATGACCCTCCATGCTTTTAATTGGCGAGTTTATCATTATTGCTTTGGTTATTGTTGGTAGATGTTCTTTTGCTGTTTTGTTATTGTAATTCAAATGCTTACCAGATAGTGCCCGGCCCATGCCAGGGTGGAAGTCTCGAAAAAATGAAATGGGTGTAGGAAATCAATGGCCAGAAGCAATGAACTGGTGAAGCTGCGAGGTGCATCAACGAATGGTTGAGATGCCGATGAAATGAAATTAAATGACGTGAAATGAAATGAAATGAAATGAAGGATTCCATGCACAAATTGCTGCATGAACCAATGAACCAATGAACCGCTGAAGCATCGAATCAATGAACCAATGAATCAATGAATCACTGACCTGACGAAGAAAAGAAGCATCGAATCAATGAACCAATGAATCAATGAATCACTGACCTGACGAAGAAAAGAAGCAACAAATCGAGGAAACAATGAATCAATCGATGAATCACGGAATCAGTCAACGAGTGAAGTAGTGAGTCGATGAACCAATATATAAACCAATGAATCAATGAAATCAATGAGTCATTGAATCAACCAAGTAACGAAGCAACGAATCAATGAATGAGCGAATTAGTAAGTCGATGAGTCAATGAATCAGTGAACCAATGAATCTGTGAACCAATGAATCTGTGAATCAATGAATCAATCAAGAATCTGTGAATCAATGAATCAATCAATGAGTAAATTAGTGATTCGCTGAATCAATGAAGCAAAGAATCGCAGCGAATCCACGAATCAACGAATCAATGAATCGATTATTCAGTGAAGCTCAATCAGTGAAGCAATGAAGCAATGAAGCAATGAATCATTGAATCGGTGAACCAATGAAGCAACGAAGCAATGAATCAATAAACCAATGAACCAATGAACCCATGAATGAATGAACAGTGAATCAGCGATTCCAAGAATCCATGAATCACGGAACAAGTGAATGAACGAGTCAATGGATGGATGGATGGATGGATGGATGGATGGACGGACTCATGAATGGATGGATGAATGCTACTTCTTCTCTGACCCGCTTCTGCTCTCAGCTGGTTCCCAGCTAGCTCTTCTGTAGCTTCTGCAAACCACTTCTTCTCTTCGCGGCGCCAGCATGGCAGGGGAGTAGCACTTTAGCGAACAACGACCTTTTGTACAGCTTTTTTGCATTGCCTTTAGCAACTCCAGCTGCAATCCCGCTTTCCCAGTGCGCCTCAGCATCACGCTTTGCTGCGGGTAGCCGTGCCACTGGCTTTTGTCACAGCCGGATGCAAACCCGCATAGCAGGAGCATCGCATCACATCCAGCTATCCAGCTGCAAACATGAGATTGCCCCCCTGCATTGTTGATTCAAAACCGTATGTGATAACACGGGTTTCACACACACAAGCCCCTCAGGGCAATCTCATAAGACAACATGACAAAATAGATCATAGAACCCGTCCAGCGACTCAAACACGCAGCTGCTTATCGAGGTATTCGTGTATTCCATGGTCATGCACAAAGTTGAAAAATGCAGCCAGTGAGCACCATAGCGAGCGATGCATTTGTTCAATCTTAACAGTCCGTCCCTGCCTTGTTGATTAAAACCGTATGTTATAACGGGCTTCACACACACACAAGCCGGAGGAGGGAAGGGGGAAGGGAACAAGGACAGCCAGCAACAACAAAACGATGGGAAAATGAGAGCAAAACCACAAAGGCAGAGAACAGGCAAGGGGAGCACACAACAAGCAGGCAGGACAAATGGAGGAAAAGGGGGGGAAAGGAGGAGGGAGGAGAAAGCGCACAGGAACCCAACCCTGGCAGGCAGAAAAGCAACAGCGCAAAGCAGAACAAGCAGCGAAGCAAAAACACAGCAGCGAGACAACTAAAGCAGGACGGCAAAGGGAAGAGACAAACACATTCCTGAGGATGACGCAAGGGGAGAGAGAAGGTATTGGTACCATGTCCCGTCACCGTTTTGAGGTATTGCAGTACCCCATTCTGCACCGGAAGGCCCGTTCCAATTCAATGCACGCCACAAAGTTGACAGACGGCACTCAAGTCAGTGAGACTGTGCCCGTTCACAGTGCTGATAGAGTGAGTACCCTGAAATGGAACATATAAGAATGTTGAAGTAATCGATGCCTTGAGGATGCCTAAGTCAAATCCTGCCAAGTCAAGTGCATAGGTAATCAACTGTGGAAATTGTTCCGGTTCTAGGCTTAGCCGGTTGCCACCACGAAATTGAAAATCAGCATTTATCTGCAGGTACGTGACTCGAGCGTCCCAGAGTCATATCAGTCATGAATGCATCCCTCTTCTTTGGGCAATCAGCTGCAAACATGAGATTGCCCCCCTGCATTGTTGATTCAAAACCGTATGTGATAACGGGCTTCACACACACCCCCGCGCGCGCGCGCCAAGACAGACTTGGATATGCAAGGGTCTCGCTAGCATGTCATCGCCAGCGCTTCTGTGCCATCCTTACGTATACGACCACTCTATGGCGAGCTCGCCAGCTCTCTGGGGTGCACTGGGCCCGATCCCTACATGGCAACCTTGCCAGTTCTGAGGCAGATCGAATGCTGGATATGATAGAAGGCACAATGCCAGATAGAATGCCAGGGAAAAAGTCAGACAGGTTGCTGGGAGGATTTCTGATGATTTTTTCAATCAAGTATGGAGCAGTATCTTCTGGTAATCGGCTCCGCGGTTTGTTGGAAAATTTTCAGAACTACTTCGATGATTTCCCCAAGTGCAAAAATTGTCCATTTTGATCCAGGATTTCTCATTGCCACATTGCCATGTTTGATTACCATATGGTATTTGCGCCTGGTCCTGTCCTCGCATAGTAGGAAGCGCCTCGATTTGTGGATCATGTATGTGCTGCACATGGTGAGGAATGACTAAGCTACTTCCTGAAAACAATGTGAGTTCTGTCCCACAGCTAGTTTGAACCAAGGAATGGGCAATTGCAAACCTGCCTCCATCCTCCTTGAGAAGAACCGTTGAGCTCAACACCCCTCCTGAGCGATGGTTGGGGATTGCCGGCACCTGCCTGACCATGTTATGTGGCTCAGTGTTCGTGAGTTATGTTACCAATGCCATGGCAGATTTTGCGAAAAACCGGGTCAGGACCAAGGAAATTCTTTGGTCAGTACAGAAGTATTGCGGAAACCATTGCATTTCATCTGTCTATGCCATGCAGATCAAACGTTACGTGGAAAGAGAACATCGTCGGAACCAAATCGGACGCCACATGCAACTCCTGAAAACCCTGCCAGATGGGATGGTGCGAGAACTTTTTCACGAAGCACACAGTTCGATCTTGCACTCTCACGCATTTTTCCGGGAGATTGGCGAGGGTGACAGTTCGATGGAAATGAACCTTTGCAGTAATGCGGTGTCCGAAGCACATGTCCTTGCAGGGGATATCATTTTTGACCCCTGGCTTTGCTGAAGATGATTTTCTGATATGTTCATATATATGTTCTATCTATTTCGATCCTCCATTCTTTTCCCATTGCGAGCATCTGGACCCACTTGGGTGATCTATACCAGGCCTTTTGACAATCGCAAGCATCCAAGGATCTTAGCAACAAACCCAAAGGCATGTACTTTCTGGCACAGGGTGTTGGCATCTACTTCCACAGCTGTTCTCCACCCATTGGCACTGCACGAGAGGACAAGAATGCGACCATTGTTGGACATCAAAGTCACTTTGACGTGTTAATACTCCCCATTCCATCCAGCATTACCAAGTTTCTCACTTTGCCATGTGTGTAATTTCCCCGCATGAGTTCGTCATGAGTCACGAGGCTATATGTGATGGTGATAGGTCATTATAGCTTCCCCGCTGCAAGTCGCGCCTTTCAACATTCGCGGCTGAAACCATCTTCTGTCCTACCCATCCTGGCATCCTTGTAGATGGACACGTATGCCATCGTATGCCACATCTACATGTCTGCAACTTTGGGCAACATGTGAGAGGCATAGAGCACATCCAATATATCCAGTACTCTCACCTTTACCGCCCAAGAGTCTATATATATATATATATATAATTTTGCGTCTAATGGCCAGAAGGTTGTACTTTGAAACCATGTTGTGGGTGCTGTGCGGGCCAAGGTGTGGACAATCTGGATGTCAAAGTGTAGACCCCAGTTAGGACCCCTCGCTAGGTCGCTGTGGGCGTATGAATCTAATATTATCGATCCACATTGTGACTGCATGGGTTAATTTGTGATTATGTATCGTCTCTGGGCAGAAGTGCGGCATGAAGGTCGATCAGACAAATCGCTACTGCCGGAAGTTGGGCATAACTCAGGCAAATGTGGCAGTACATTATCAGCACCATCAAACAGTTCCAAAATGGGGTGTCATTCAGGGGGTGTGAGGAAATGAAACGAATACAATGAATACAGTAGATGACTGTCAAGACATGGTCTGCAAAGACCTGATCGAGACCAATGCATGGTGACATGTGGCAAGTTGTCTTCCCAATAATCCAATCCCCTACTGTCGAATACCTACCTAGGAACCATGCATGTGGAACCCAGGTCGAACGATTAGATTGGCTCGAATCAGTGGATGACCATTTTCCATGGGGAATTTGATATGGCTAGGATGAACATCCATGAATACCAGCTGCCCCAGGGTCTTGGCCCATCCCCATATTTTAACGGGGGAGAAGATTGTTCATGAAGATCACGCTGCCCAACGTGGCGAAGATGTCGAGGCAGTATTTTGCCGAGCCTCTTCCCGAAGAAGGTCCGCTCCAGACTTGACGTTCACATGCTTCAGACCATCGTCGAGTGTGCCCAGGTCTTGATTTCAACATAATTTTAACTAGCTTTTTTCATATTTTGCTGCAAATCCAGCTGAGACAACATGGATGCTTCTAACTGACTGATACCGCTGAGTTTTCGTTTCTTTTTTTCGGGATGCTCCCAGCTCCCAATTGATTGATATATTTGATGAGGTACAAACCCCATGATGATGCAATAAGGCGTGCATCATCGATTTTTTTACAATTTAAGCCACCCATTGCTATACATTCGATTAAGTGTTGGCACCTCCGCTTTGTACCAACAACATACGTTGTCAAACTAGGCGCACGGCCTTTAAATGGCCGTGTTTTTTTGATTAATGGGATGTTGTTGATCATGTTTGATGTGCTCGTGCCAATAGAAATTTGTGCGATTTTATTTCTAAGCTCGTCAATCCCCTTTTCACAAGCAGTAGAACGAAAACAGTCATTTCGCCTACACCAAACTACATGTTTTGGGTTTTCTGGCCAACCTGAAACTAATTCGTCGTCACATGTTTTTAGCCGTTTTTTGGTCAGAGCGGCGCCTCCAGTTCTTCCAAGAACTTTTTAGGATCTGGACTCTGCAAGCTTGAACGCCAGCATCACGTGAGCACATGTTGAGTCACGGAGGGGTGCATAGCATGACCCATGAGTGCAAAGTTCAAGAGAACATACAGTAGCGTAGCATGACGCATGAGTGCAAAGTTCAAGAGAACATACAGTACCGTATAGCATGACCCATGAGTGCAAAGTTCAGGAGAACATACAGTACCGTAGCATGACCCATGAGTGCAAAGTTCAAGAGAACATACAGTAGCGTAGCATGCGCATGAGTGCAAAGGTCAAGAGAACATACAGTAGCATGACGCATGAATGCAAAGTTCAAGAGAACATATTACAGTAGCGTAGCATGACGCATGAGTGCAGAGTTCAAGAGAACACACAGTATACCGTAGGATGTTATTATCCCACCCCAACCCACCCCACCCCACCCATGAATACATGCACCTGCCGGCAGCCACAGCGTAGCATGTCCTTCATCTGCAAGTTCACATGAACGTTAATACATGCCCCACCCCACCCCACCCATGAATACATGCACCTGCCGACAGCCAAAGCGTAGCATGTACTTCATCTGCAAGTTCACATGAACGTTAATACATGCCCCACCCCACCCCACCCCCCACCCCACCCCCCCAACGTCAACAAAACACCACGGCCGTCTAAAGGCCGTGGTCCAACTCGCCACCATCCCGGAAGTGAATGGAAAAGTATCAGGGATATTGTTTGAAATTTGGACCAATCACTGCATATAAGCGTTCCCACCGCTTGGCATGGGGGAAGCGCCATTTCCCAGGTGGAGAACATCTGGCAGAACCAGCTCTGTGGGTTAGTTCCTGGAGGCATCAGGGGCAACTGCCGGCTACCCTGGACGCACGCACGGTGCTGGTGTCGACGGATCAGCTTTTCAAAGTGCCACCAGGATGCATTGGAGTTATATTGCTGCCATCAAAATTAGGGATTCACCAACAAAAATGGCAGAATATTGGATAGAATGGGATATAAATTGATATATATATATATATATATACCCCAACTACTCAAGGTCTAAAGGACTGGAGTGTAGATGATTGGCCCAGTGTTTTTGCGTATAGACCCTGGACATCCTTAGCATCCAAAAAGTAAACTACCCATTATCTTTGTTATATGTATGTTATGTTACAAGATGCCACAAGGATTTACAGAATATTTACAAGATGTTACAGATATATTGAGAATTGTTGTCAGCACAACTGTAGAATTATGGTACCGCAGTGCTTTATCATGTTGTCGAAGGAAGTTTAGAAGTCAAACTTCCAACAATATGGACAGATGAAAAGCAGAGCAGGGCAGAGGCAGAGAGAAGAGAAAGATTAGAAGAAAGAAGATCAGAAGAGAAAGAGTCAGAAGAAAGAAGATGCAGATGCGCGAAAAGGTAGGAAAGTCGCGAAACACTGTGTTTTTCCAATGATTTGTGGCTCCTGAGGGTCGAAAAGTAGGCTCGCTAAAGCGGCGGGTGCGGAGCCAGCTGGCCAGATGAGAGATGAAAAAGTGCACGCCGTTGTGGCGCGAAGCACATTTCCAAGTCAAAATGTACAAAACACACCATTGTCGGACCACTTTTGGAAGTTGCAATGTCGAAAAAGTGCACGCCGTTGTGGCGCGAAGCACATTTCCAAGTCAAAATGTACAAAGCACCACATGTTCGCGCCAATTTTTTGGAGGTTCGGATGTTGGAAAAGTGCACGCCGTTCTGGCGCGAAGCACATTTCCAAGTCAAAATGTACAAAACACTAGGGGTTCGCGCCACTTTTGGAGGTTCAGATGTCGCTTCGCTTCACTACACTACATTACACTACACTACACTCCACTACACTACATTACACTACACTACACTCCGCTACACTACAACTACAACTACAACTACACAACTACATCCACTACACTCCACTACACTAAATTACACTACACTACATTACACTACACTACCTTCCACTACACTTCACTACACTCCACTACATTCCACTACAACTACACAACTACACTCCACTACACTACATTACACTACACTCCACTACATTACACTACACTACACTTCACTACATTACACTACACTCCACTACACTACAACTACAACTACAACTACACAACTACACTCCACTACACTCCACTACACTCCACTACACCAAATTACACTACACTACACTACATTCCACTACACTACATTACACTACACTACGCTCCACAACACTACAACTACACAACTACACAACTACACTCCACTACACTCCACTACACTCCACTACACTAAATTACACTACACTTCACTAAATTACACTACACTACACTCCACTACACCACAACTACAACTACAACTGCACAACTACACTCCACTACGCTAAATTACACTACACTAAATTACACTACACTACACTACATTGCACTACACTACACTACATTCATGACATTCCACTACACTCCACTACACCACACTACATTGCACTACACTACATTACACTCAATGACACTGCACCACAGATTGACAGGTAGACAGCTAGACGGATGAAGGAGAGAGAGAGAGAGATAGATAGATCGATAGATAGATAGATAGATCGATAGATCGATAGAAAGATAGAAAGATAGATAGATAGGTAGGTAGGTAGGTAGTCAGAGAAAGAGAGAGAAATAGTGAGAGAGATCAATCACCTTTCGCTCCATCAGTGGCTTCGCTCTGCCATCCCTGATTCACAACAAACAGCCTCTCCTATAGGTTTCCTATTTTTGAAACTTCCGCCACCGCCTTGTGCGGTACTACTGGTATTCATTCATGCTCTCATCTCTTCCAAGTCTCTCTCTTCCTGCACGTTAAGCCGTTAGGCTCTTGATTCGGGAAAAAAAGCGACAAGGATCCCCAATATATACCCTCAAGTTCAAGGTATCTGGAATGAATGGTACTCCTGGGATTGACAGGGAGTATTTCTTAATGGCTTGAAAACCTAGTTGTATGAGCCTTCTTGTTGCCTCCTACAACATGCAAAGTTAACTTCGGAATGCAAAACAAACGAGGCCGAAATAAGTGACCTGGTCAGTTAACAATATTCAATATTCCGCATTTTGGTCAGTCAACATTCCTATTTTCAGACTTCAGACAACAAAATGTTCAAGTCACATGGTTTGAAATATAAAAAACTATCCTGGCAAAAAACAAACAGCGTGATGGGGTGGGAGTAGTATAATGTGTGACAATGTGAATGTTGATGATGATGATGGTGATGATGAAGATGATGATGATGATGGTGGTGGTGGTGATGATGATGATGATTATGATGATGATGATGTGGACGATGATGTTCAGGATGATGACTTTGAGGATGATGAGGTGCAGGAGGATGACGTGGATGATGATGATGATGATGATGATGACGATGATGGTGGTGATGGTGATGGATGATGGATGGTGGATGATGGATATGGATGATGATGATGCTGATGCTGATGCTGATGCTGATGCTGATGATGATGCGGACGATGATGTTGATGCTGATGATGATGCGGACGATGATGTTGAGGATGACGATGTTGAGGATGATGAGGTGCAGGAGGATGATGTGGAGGATGATGATGTAGAGGAGGATGATGAACAGGATGATAATGTTGCGGAAGATGAGGTGGAGGAGGATGATGTTGCGGAACATCAGGTGGAGGATGATGAAGTTGAGGATCATGATGTGACGGGGGAGGAAGATGATGATGTTGAGGAGGAGGAATCCCAAGACCTAGGACCACACTTTGCGCGAGCCTGCCGCAGTCGAAATGTTATCTCCAGAGTCAGTTTACACGGAAGTTTTCAGGAAAAGCTGCGGCCCAGAACCTAGGACCACACTTTGTGCGAGTCTGCGCAGTCGAAATGCATCTAAACATTTCACAAGAGCCACTTTATACAGAAATTCACAGGAAAAATGCCGCGCCCCAGCTTGAGCCCAGAACGCGAACACACTGTGCAAGCCGGCGCGGGCGACATTTCTTAAGAGCCACTTCATACGGAAATTTACAGGAAAAACGCCGTGCCCCAGAACCTAGGACCACAAATGGTGCGAGCCTGCGCAGTCGAAATGCATTTCAACATTTTACAAGAGCCACTTTATACGGAGATTCACAGGAAAAGTGCCGCGCCCCAGCTTGAGCCCAGAACCAGGACACACACTTTGTGCGAGCATGCGCAGTCGAAATGCACTTCAACATTTTACAAGAGCCACTTTAAACGGAAAATCACAGGTAAAATGCCGCAGACCAGAAGCTATAGGACCACACTTTGTGCGAGCCTGCGCAGTTGAAAGGCCTTTGCACTTCAACACATGTCACGAGAGCCACTTTGTACGGAAATTCACAGGTAAAGTGCCGCAGACCAGACTGAGCCCAGAACGCGGACACATACTTTGTGCGAGTCACTTTACACGGAAATTTATAGGAAAACGGCGCGAGACCAGAGTGAGCACCCTGATCAAGCACCGGCCTTTACAGCTACCATATGCCATAAGAACCCCTCAGTGTGGACACACTGTTTGGGGAATGAGACACAACTTGGTACATGTAGGTTGTTTGTCATCAAACACGAGCGGAAAATAACGTTGCTACCTATGCTTAAGTGTGTCTGCCTGTTCACTGACACCGCTCAAACAACTCTGTGCAAATTTGCGAACTATTCGTTGAGTTGATTCCCATGTTGAATTGACAGTTGTCACGTGACACAGTTGCTCGAAGACACTAGAAACCGAAACACATATCACAGCTGCAGCATGCTGCAGCGAATGCTGCGGAAGTGCAAAAGGGCGACAACACAGGACAATACGGAGAAAACACGATGTTGCAGAGGAAGATGATGATGTTGAGGAGGATCAATGATGATGATGACGATGATGGTGAAGATGACCATGATGAGGATGACGATGATGATGGCGATGATGGTGATGATGATGATGATGATGGTGATGATGGTGATGACAACGGTGAGGAGGATGAGGATGATGACGATGATGTTGATGATGATGATGATGAGGGTGAATTGCAACCATCAACCAGGTTGTGCTGGTGTAGATGTGGAAACGCAATGTTCCATTGAGGAATATTGGGGTACATTGAACTGACATCCTTTTGAACAAATATAGTGGACATTTGGATGGAACCTGACATGATAATCATCGGAGCATACCACATGGGCCGCGCCTTGGCTTGTAAGACGATGTGTTCCTGGCTCGGGAACGCCATGGTTGAATTTTGCTGTAAAGTTTGCATTGGATTTTTTTTTGATATCGCTGAAATTATTGCAACTTTGGTCGTTTAGTGATTTAGCACTGATTGCCTTTTGGCTACAAAATTGTAGCAAAGAATTGGAACATTAGAAAACTTTTTGCAGGTTGCTCCATATTTAGTTTGTTAAAATTTGAAGAGAAATATAGCCGCAACGGGTGAAAATGTGTGTTTGACCTTTTGGACAACCTGGTTATACATACGATAACCATCGATAACCCACTTAGTTTTTCTTTTAAACCAGGGTTGCTAAGAAGTTGCTATTGTCAGTGGAATGATCCTCCCACTCCGGCTGTAATTTTACTTGGGATCGTGATCGCTAAAACAATTTTGGGGCATTATCCAAGGTTGCAAGACTATGCAAGAGCTTTTGCAGATGCCATCCTCTACGCCCGGTGTTTTGTGAAGGAAATGAACAATTTGTCACAAATCTCGGAGGAAATCACCGATTTGCCGTTTAAGATTCGCCCCAGGAGCCAAGGTTGATTGTTGGTGGTTCTGGGTTAAACAAAAGATGGTGAAACAACCAACCGGTGCACGGTAAGAAATTATGCAATTAAAATGTTTTTTGGGTTTTATCCCCTGTCTTGGTGGTTGACTCATCATCATTGTTGTCATTGTTGGTCAAACGCCGCATTTCTTCAAAGGTTGACTTATCAACATTGTTATTCAAACGCCACATGTTTTCAACGGTTTCAGTTTCACAGGAGCTCTGGTGGAATCAGTGGAATGGGTGTTCGGTCTGGTCAAGTACTTCCTGAGAACCGTGTTGTTCAGACAGACGAGCATTTCCTGCCATAATACACTGGACCGCTTGACCTTTTGGACGTGTGAGAATGTGTGAGAAATCTGAAATGAGGTGAGCGCTCCCCAAAAAGACATACATCGACAGGGCGGCATGGCGTCTCTTGCCCCATTATATCCCTAGGTTTGAACTTCAGTAACATTGTAGATTGTAAATGTGACCAGCACGACTCGTGGGTCAATAAGATATATACCGAAACATGATTTGAACCATGCCGGGACCATACCCAATTTTTTGCCCCGTCAGAGACGTTGGCATTGTGACCTTTTAACAACAGAATCTCTTTGAAGTCTGTGCCATTGCAGTAGTGATGGAAAGCACCGCGCAAGTTCTGTGTTGTCTTGCTTGGCATCCATGTCTGATGTCCCACCGACATCGAACAACATGGGCGTTGTTCGGAAATGATAGGTGTCAACCAATTTTAATTATCAACGAGTTGCACTCATATGAAATGTGCCTTTGGTTTTCAATTAGTTTACATCCGTAGCAAAATACTAGAAGTAACAACCAACTGCATTGATGAACATGTTTGTTAATTACAAGTGTTTGGCCATATTGAGGATTTGAAGGGTTTTAAGAGGTCAATACCTGTGCAAATCCAATCTCTGTGAACTTCACTGGGAACAACACCCGGGTTGCTATCTAGGTCGTGGAATTGCCACGTCAGTTGGTCACGACGATTTGACCATGTTTGACCCATTAGACCCGTGTTTCGGGATACTAGGCTCCGCAGGGGCGTGGGTAACAAATCTCTGGGATAGGCGTCCGTCATATGCCTGTGCCTCATTTGGAATCTCAAAAAAAATCGCGGCGGATTTCAGCATGAAGCATGGGGATATTTGTACCATTTTGTATCTACACACATGCAATAATACCACGGTAGTTATCCCAAACATGATATTTGTTTTTGTCCAGGAAACCGTGTTTTGGTGGATCATTGCCCAGATTATTGCAATGTCAAAGGGGAAATAATTTGATAAACCATGAGGTTTTGATTTGACATTTTCAGAATATAGAGGATTTATAAGGACTTCACTGGCCAGAGTATATGATGGTTTGTTCATCCGGAATCAGTTCCAAATGGCCTTATTTATCCCTGGCTGGTGAATTGTCACGATTCAGAAAAAATGGTTGGCGAATGGGGATGGGTGAATCTTGGAGAACATCCAAGAGCTCGTCCTCGTCGCTAAGTTCTGTCCCAAAATTTTTGAGAAGATGGTGTTCAACTGGCCCTGGCGTTTTTTGGGGTTCCAGTTTCAAACTGAAAATTCTACGATTCGTAAGTGCTAAGGGGCCACTACCTCCGGGTCCCGATCATCCCGATCATCCCGCAGTGACGGTGACTTGGAGGGGTGAGGGCAGCTTAGTTGCGAAGTCTCTGGTAACAGTTTGCTATGGAAAATGGTGATTTTCCATAGCTATGTTAAATTACCAGATGGTACATCTTGAATTTAAGACCATGCAATCTGGGTAAATGAGATTAAATGAGGCTAATATCCAGTGAATACCCTCAAGTGCAGACGCTCTGACCCATTTTGGCGCTCGAAAAGCTGCTGGCAATTAGCTTGGGTTGGCTTTAAGCCTAAGCTTCGATGACCGTTGGCTTAAGCGCTTAGACAGGTTAAATCTTCAGATCTGCGGATGGTGGGGATCGGTCACGCCTATTGGATCCTGCAATTTCACCTGGCAATGGAAGAGCACTCATTTCAAGAATTCTAAAAATAGTTTCCCAATGTTTCCCATACTTTTCCATGCGTTCCCATTTAATGAAAGTTGGCATTTTCTGACCGCGATCCAGTAGTGAATTCACACAGTAGTGGGACATATGTAAAATATCGAATGTTAACATATTGATTCAGTTTGATAGAAAAAGCATGAAAAAGGTATTCTCTTCATAGATTTATATTCCTTTATATATATACACATATAAATGTGTATATATATACAGTATATATAAAAATTATATATACACATATATTATATATAATAGATTTACTGGATATAAATCCACTCGCTCCCTGTATTTTCCCGTGTATGTCCATTACATGGAGAATAGCTCAATGGCCATCAAATCATGGGGAAGATATTCCCTTCAATCCACTGACCAACCCTGATTGATTCGGATGTAATTTTCCTCTATCATGGGAAAATGATGGGAACATTGCTTTTAAAACTATTAAGCCAATATCAACCCGCAGGATTTGAGTCCCTTCACATCCCCTGAGTGGGCTCTGTAGCAGCAAGGTGCCATCTGCAGCCTGCCAGGATACAGTCGCGATGCGTTGAAAAAGACACGGAAAAACGACGTGGGTTTGGGATGTGATCCCCTACCCCGTTGATATATTGTTAATATTAAACACATTGATTTGGTCCCAATAAATGGTAAACTCCGTACTTACCCAACCATGATTTTTTGGGGTGTTCAATATGAGGCGATGGGATTTCATGTGGATTTAATAACAAAATTTACTGGGATGTATCATGCACATATGGTGACTTCAACATCAATATACTGGTCACTGGATTAGATATACATTAATACAACCCTGGATATACTGGTTAGACATATGCTATATATGTTGGTTTCACCTGAACATGTGAGTAATTTGATGAATTGCATCTCAATTTTCAATGAGCAGAGAAGCTCGGCGTTCACATCAGCCGACTTGGCCATTTCTGCTCAAGTTGCGTGAAGTCAGCACAGCTCAGGGATGTTTTACTCATGTGTGACACCCACAAACGGAAAAACACGACGATCAGACAATGTCTGGCCCATGTGATCAATCCCCGTAGGCGCCAAGTCCAGAGAGTCCAGCCATTCTCCATGCGAAGTCGTCAGAAGATTACAGCAGGGACCAAGCGGGTTGTAGCGGCAGATGGCAGCGCTGCAAACCATGATGGAGGCGAATTGTTCAGACCTGGACTCGATTAAGTGGTGTGATAAGCACAATGATAACCCCCTGCTATTATGTTGTTTTTCATGGTATCTAGGAATCTAGGAATCTAGTTTAAGATTAAGACCATATTATGGCGAAATGGTAAACTTTGGTACGGTGTGATTCAAGATCGGATACTGTTGGATATAATTTACTGGTATATGGTTATACTTGGCTTGCCGAATTCTGAACCATCCAATTCTGGAGGTACAAATCCATACAAAGCCAGTTTACCTGATAAATAAATCCGCATGGAAACTTGGCTGGACAGGTTGAGCCCACCGCTTATTCTAAATTCAAGATGCGATATCTCGAGCCTTCAGGATTCAACAACAACGAATTTCCCGTTTGCGTCCTGAGTGTCAGGACTTGGTGTCAGGAGTCATGAAGAACGCTGGGGCGCCCCAGGGCCCCAGGAGGAGGATGGTGCTAACAAAGCAACAGAGTCGAGTAAATCCTGTGCTGAATGCTTTCCTGGGACCTGGGATGCCATGTTTGGACATTCGAAATCTAGGGTAGATACTCATCCGTGCTTAATGCAGCCTCGATCTGAACAATTGCTGCACCCAAAATCCTCGTAATTGGACTCTCACAGAGCATGATTGCTGTCTCACGTAGAACATTCCAAGCTTGCAAGCATCCCAAGCTTGATCAATGGGCATAGACTATAGATATCATTGGATATCTATATATGATGAACGGGAATTCATTACATTTAAATCTCACATTTAATATAATTTAATTACCTTTAAAATAGTGCAAAGGGTATTGTGCCAGGAATCCAAACCACTGCCAGCGACTCAATCGCCATTTGGCTTCCATTTGGTTTCTTGACTTTTTTGCGGCTATTCCCCAAAGTGCAAAAAATGAAAACAAGAGTTGGCCTATATATTTATTACACTATATATTGATATAGTTTTTTTAAAAAAATAAAACACTATATAAATACATATTTATTACATGTATCGAAGGTAAGTAAAAACCTTGTCAGAAAAGACTGCAATGCTGCTAGGTTTCGATTGCAACACAGTTGCAGAATTTAGCAAACTGTATCCCACATCGGTGTTTGTTCTCCACTCATTGAAGGGTCCCTCATCGGCATCCCATGATAATCCCGGCCTGTTCGCCCTTTCCGGCGAACAGGAAATGGTTGTGGCTGTACGAGCTCAAGCCACCAAGATGATGGAGGCCTGGAGCCAGATCGAATGGAAGGTCGCCAATTGTTTGTTCTGTATGGTATAGAAGTATAGGACATCATACAGAACTATCCAGCACTGTATCCATATGTCACATCATAAATAATACATACATGCACAGTAAATTTAGCATCGATTCCTTCACTACCTTTTTCCACAAACCGTCCTTGTTCCTCTACGTGTAGTATACACATATTCCATAGTTGGAGGATCTTGGTCTGATAAAGCTCCAACTGCTAGGAATGGCATTTGATGGCTAGAAAAAATCGTGATGAACTGTGTGGCATGAGTTCATGATTCCCTCAATGATTTTGGTGTCGCCGTACTGCCAAGATTTGATCATCCAATCCCCAAGTGATCGTCACATCGGAATGTTTTTAACGGTTAAGATATGTTACGATCATCATCATTGTTTGATGATTGAAATCACCATATCTGGACAAACCAAGAAAGTTTTTTGTTGGATGGTATATCCGACTAAGTCCTGTTACATGCCCATATCTGGTCATAGCTTCCCATGTTTGTTGGTTTATATTCATTTAAGATTCTAAAATCCTTATTTGAGCAGCGTTTACTAGAAACATGAAAGGATTCATACAGCACTTAAACATACTGTTTTGCTCTGCGTAGGCTTTTGACTAGCATAGGCTTTGCATTGGTTATTTTGTGCTAGTTGTGATGGTGTCTGGCTAAAATGCAACTGCTTGATTGTCAAATCCTTTTTTGGGTTGATGCTTACCCCTGTATTTTAAAGCTATGAACAATCATTACGTTTCAGTTCGGTAAATCATCGAACTAAATGGGGCATGGTCTCCAGTTCAAAAATTGCAACACATTAGTTTTTCTTTTATATTCCCATTTATATCACTATAAATCCATTGTTTGGATCCTCAGGATTTTTTCACCAAACTAGACCCAGCAAATCATATCCCGTCATTTATAGATGATCTCCCAATTCAACCTTTATTTATGACGGAGATTTCCGATTGCCATTTTTGACCGGAGGAAATCCCCAGGAAATCTTTGTCATCCGGTTGCCTGCCTTTGCCCCAGGATGCCACGCCCTTTCTAGTGCACTGGGCCGAGCAGACGCAGCAGGTATGCCAAATCAGGGGTTGTTCTTTACTGGTTGTGTATGATTTATATACCCTCTGGTTATTTAACATAGCCATGGAATAGATGGCCCATAGAAATAGATGGTTTACCCTGGTTTACCTATTAATAGCATGGTGATTTTCCATGGCGAACTGTTAAATAGCCAGATGGTAAAGGAATTGAAGAAAATGCGGAGTGAGCCTAGAAGAATCTAGAAGAAATTAGACCAGCAGAAATGGGGTCGAAGCACCAATTTTGGTACCAGACAAGATAGAATTGACCAATCCAAAATCTCTAAACACCTGTGATATGTGTGTGTGTGTCTACGTCGGAACGCTACAGGAGTGGGACTATGGCACGAAGACGTATCCTTTGAGTAGCAAAGTACTGGAAATTAAAAATATGTCGGGGTTTGCGACTTGAGTTTTGGACTCCGTAGGCATCAGCGGATGCTCTCGCAATGGGGAAGAAGGCTGGGGCCGAGCAGTTTGGTTCCACGTCAGCTTGAGGGCTTCCGATCCTTTCAGGAGGGAAAGTCTAACGGACCCCGTCATTTTGTATGGTTGAATTTGTCCTGTTGTTCTTCCTTGAAACAAACCCAGAAATATATAAGACGGTTGAGTGATAGGTGGGAGAGAGATGTATTTAACGAGGCTTTTGGTGCCAGAGTTCAAACTTCTTGTCCTTTGAAGATATTGCTGATAGTTTTGTTATTGTGTGTGTGATGAGAGCCGTAGCCAAAACCCTGGCTGCCAAAACCCTGGCCGTCGTTTGTTCCAGTTCTATGTTTTCCACCCCTCTTGGATGTGATGTTAGCTTTGCAAACCCGTTTAGATTGTCATCAGTTCAGGTCAAACCATGTCAAATCCCTATTTTGAGGCTTAACAACTCCACTTCATTTAGGATTTGTTCAGCTATGTTCAGCGTAAATCCATATTTTGTGGTGAACATCCCCGTTATTCCCCGTTTCATGTTGGGATTACCATTCGATGCAATGGCTGGGAGAAGCTGGGAGGCCTGGGAAGACCAGCCAGCAAGTCTTGCGACTTGGATATCTTCAGTGCTTTCATTTGTGGTCTTGGTATAATATGGTACTGTAAGAATATGGCAAGAATATGGCAAGAATATGCAAGAATATGGTAAGAATATCGTAAGACTATGGTCAGAATATTGTAAGAATGTGGCAAGAATAATGGTTAGAATATGGTTAGAATATGGTTAGATTATGGTAAGAATATGGCAAGAATATGGCAAGAATATGCAAGAATATGGTAAGAATATCGTAAGACTATGGTCAGAATATGGTAAGATGTGGCAAGAATATGGTAAGAATATGGTAAGAATACGGCAAGAATATGGTCAGAATATGGTGAGAATATGGTACGAATATGGCGAGAATATGGTAATAATATGGTAAGCCTATGGTAAGAGTATGGCAAGAATATGGCAAGAATATGCAAGAATATGGTAAGAATATCGTAAGACTATGGTCAGAATATGGTAAGAATGTGGCAAGAATATGGTAAGAATATGTTAAGAATACGGCAAGAATATGGTAGGAATATGGTCAGGATATGGTAAGAATATGGTGAGAATATGGTCAGGATATGGCAATAATATGGAAAGAATATGGTAAGAATATGGTAAGAATATGGTAATAATATGGTTAGAATATGGTTAGAATATGGCAAGAATATGGCAAGAATATGGTAAGAACACGGCAAGACTATGGTCAGAATATGGTGAGAATATGGCTAGAATGTGGTACGAATATGTTAAGAATATGGCTAAAATATGGCAAGACTATGGCAAGAATATGGTAAGAATATGGTAAGAATATGGTTAGAATATGGTAATATGGTAATATGGACATAATATGGTAAGAATATGGTAAGAATGTGGCAAAAATATGGTAAGAATATGGTAAGAATCTGGCTAAAATATGGCAAGAATATGGCAAAAATACGGTTAGAATATGGTAATATGGTAATAATATGGTTAGAATATGGTAATATGGTAATAATATGGTTAGAATATGGTAAGAATATGGTAAGAGTATGGTAAGAACGTGTTTATAATATGGCATGGTTTTTGAATATGGCAAGAAACTCAGGTCATGATATGACAGTTGTTTTCTGGACAACGATAATTCGTGATAATATGGTACTGTGGTAATGATTATGGATCAATTGATATGTTGTGACAATATCAATCAATATCACCTGAGAGTGCTCATGAATTGTATATTATGATGATAGCATGATATCATTGTGTTCTGTCAATGTCCATGATGTGGCATTTGTTTATCGGTATATCCGGTATATCAGCACAACTCAGACTTGTCCTAAACCTGGTTGATCCATGGAGGTGATCCTTATTGGTGTCGTGGCAGCATTGCTGCTGCGGTGCTGGGAGGTGCCATTGAGTCAGCATGAAATGCGCTAGGTCCTGCAGGATGAAATGCGCGATATGTTGCTGGTTGCAGTACTTTAAGTCATTGGATTCCATGGTTTCCAGACAGTTTTACACTGTGTTTGCCCCACTTTACTTTAGAATGTTTGGATGGGTGCTGTTAGGCTTTCAGGAGCCACTTGACTTGACTCGCCTGGAGTTTCTTCTCACAGAGTATGTCTGAGTTTTTTCGGACGTCATTGTACAAGGCTCCTCGATCCCTCAACGGAACAAAATTATTGCTGCCCCCAGATCATTAAGGGAGCAACTGGTACATTTTACATCAATTTACCACCAACACGGTCGCCAAACATGTCGCCCCCCGCCAAAAAAACAGCACCAAAAACCATCGGCCGCCAGGGGTGCAGATCTCATCCGACCAAGGAGTGGGAGTTTTTTGTGTTGACCGGAGCTGTGGTATGTTTTTCATGGCTAGCTGGCAAGCTGGGACGTGATTTTTCTTCCCCAATGGTCGACCGGAATTGTTTTGACTGATCCCCCAGAGAGTCATCCAATAGGTGACCGGCACTTGTAGGATGGACACTGGAATGTCAGATGGATTTATGGATTTTCCAGTGACAGGTTATCATCGATTTATGTCAATTCTAGCGACCTCAACCACAGATGCGGAAAGCAAGGGGGACTTATCTCCAAATGAAATCAGCATGAACAAAATGAGATGGCTCAGTGCTGAAACTTTGTCAAATGTCTGGTTTAGGCTTTGGCCAAAGCTTTAAAAGTTCTGTTTCTCTGAGGTTTCACGCGCCCCCGGGGGGAATGCAGTGTACAAACCAATGAAATGGCGCCAGAGTGGCCTTGCTCAGCAAGTCTTAGAGATAAGCTACTGAGGATATTGTCTATAGGTGTCTATAGTCTATAGTTGATGTGGTGCCCACTTTGAAATGTACAAGTAAATGTACAAGGATTGTTGTAATATTGTTATGCTTCAATGAGAAAACAGAGGATGTCCATTGATTTTCATTCCTTATATCCTTAGGATTGGATTACACTTGATTCTCAAAACCATTAAAACAATCCAGTCATCATGATGGGTTCGCAGCCACTCGCATTCTCCATGCTCATGGCTCTTCCAGTGCAGAGACATGTTTCTTTCTTTATTGGTTCGGTCGCAGCAGTCATTTTGGCTAGACGGACGCATAGAAGGTCGTTGGGTTTGCATTTGTTTTGCAAACTTTATGAAGTGACAAGAGATTCCATCGTCTATCTCATTGGATTGGTTGAAGGGAAGCCTGTACTTAATTTCATATATTTTCCTGTAGTAGTAGATTTGCACTTAAACCAATCCATCGTCCATCTTTCTTTTTCCTTGGCCTCTCATGAAGCCTTTGGACCGATCCAGGCATCCTGACATCCAACCGGTAGCTGTCAGCACGAATCCTTCGTTCCGGAAGATCTCCCAAGATCTCCGACGCAAAACCATCAACAAAAAGATAGACACTATCATGATTGTTTATTGGTTGAAAGTATCATAAAGTATCTGTTATTTGATTTTACAGTGTCTATCTTCAGCGACCAACAAAAAAGGATATCAACCACCAAAAAGATTGGGATTTTTGTGTCCAGCCATGGCCTCCCGTGGCCCAGCACCACGTTGGACGCAGTTGCCCAACTTTCCAGGATCCGTCGGATCGCTTCGTTGCGGAAGTCGTGGTATGTCGTTACGCAGAGCGTGATATTTTTCGTTATGACGTGAAGCAGATGTGGTCATTGTAGAATTGTAATTGTGATATATTGTGATTGTTGGAACATGAAATGGAACATGAAATTGAAAATTATGGTAGTTGAATTGTAGTTGATATAGTCACTAAGGATATCGAAGGATTTGATTTAGCACAATCAAGATTGTCTAAACATAGGGTAACCCAAAGTACAGTGGTTAATCATCACGTTCCCTATTAAAATGGCCACTTGGAGGGTATACCATGGTATACCCTATTTTGTTCTGATGGGATTGTGGTAACCATGGGATCCCCAAAAAGAACCCAAAGGAATATGTTATATGTTGTAATGATATTGATAAATGGACCCATAATCATTGGGATCAATGGAATATGTTTGTGTGAGTCCGGGAGTCCCCTAATTGATGAATTGTGATTTATATTTGGTTTATAATCTCCGAGATATTGGATCGTAGCCACTGCGTGGATCGCGGCTGATGGATCACCGCGGGATGCCACAAGGTGGCCATTGACGGCATATGAACAATGGGAATTTCAGGATCATGGAGCTACTGAGGCCATATGAATTGTTGGGATATTCCCTGAAAAATAGGCCTGAAAAATATGGTAGGTACCTCGAATTTGGGTTCCTGGAATGTGACATCCAGGAGCACCTGTAGAGAGCCCTTACAATGGCCATTGACATATGTTTGTAATTAGGATACTTGAGTTTGGAATTGAACCCCGCTGACGACTCCCCGGAAGATGGGTGATCGTAGAGCGGTAGAGATATTTGCTGGGTCTTATTCTACATCTGAAGACATGCCGTGTAGCGACGAATGGTTGGAAGCTAGGAAAAATTGCAATGTAGCTACAAAATTATACAAAATTGAGGTTAGTCAGCCAGCTGACATAGAAGAGATGGCCAACTAAGTGTTGATTTGAGGTACATCCAACTAAGTGGACATGCAACCAGTGATGATAGAAGCCACACGGCCTACAATCGATCAAGAAATGTGCAAACGCTGCAATGTGGTTCGGGAAACAAACAAACTTGGGACCACAACTAGCCTAAACCATGTTCTAACAATGGCTTTCCATCATTTGTTGAATCGTTGAGACGTTCCCAAGTCATTGACCGGCCTTGACCGTCTGCGGATCCCGGGTATGGCATATGGTTTGCTGGAAAAACAACTTGGCGTTTCACCCAAGTGTAGGCAAAAACACCCCAACAAGCAAGGTTAATCATCATGTTCCCCAGTGAAAAGTATACACAAGTGGCCATACTGATCCATAAATTGTGGTCGACACATTCAAAAATCTACAAGTGTATCAAATGTTTCCCATCATAAAATCATATAGAATCCATAAATGTTGG